CGTTTTTAATTTTTATGGTTGTTTTTTTTTTAATTTTTATTTTAATTTTTTTTTTTTTTCATTTTATTTGTTGCTTTTCAAGACCAGCTCAAGCCCTTTATGGCACTTTATGGTTTTTACTTTATTTTGTTTTTTATGCGTTTTTAATTAATTTTATTTTTTAATTTTTATGGGTTTTTTTTTTAAATTTTTATTTTAATTTTTTTTTCATTTTATTTTTTGCTTTTCAAGACCAGCTCAAGCTCTTTACGGCACTTTATGGTTTTTACTTTATTTTGTTTTTTATGTATTTTTAATTAATTCGTTTTTAATTTTTATGGTTGTTTTTTTTTTTAATTTTTATTTTAATTTTTTTTTTTTTTTCATTTTATTTGTTGCTTTTCAAGACCAGCTCAAGCCCTTTATGGCACTTTATGGTTTTTACTTTATTTTGTTTTTTATGCGTTTTTAATTAATTTTATTTTTTAATTTTTATGTTTTTTTTTTTTAATTTTTATTTTAATTTTTTTTTTCATTTTATTTTTTGCTTTTCAAGACCAGCTCAAGCTCTTTACGGCACTTTATGGTTTTTACTTTATTTTGTTTTTTATGTATTTTTAATTAATTTGTTTTTAATTTTTATGGTTGTTTTTTTTTTTTTAATTTTTATTTTAATTTTTTTTTTTTTTTCATTTTATTTGTTGCTTTTCAAGACCAGCTCAAGCCCTCTACGGCACTTTACGGTTTTTACTTTATATTGTTTTATATGTGTTTTTAAGTAATTATTTTTAAATTTTTATGGTGTTTTTTTTTTTATTTTTTAATTTTTTTTTTATTTCAAGACCAGCTCAAGCCCTTTACGCCACTTTACGGTTTTTGCTTTATTTTGTTTTTTATGTATTTTTAATTAATTATTTTTAAAATTTTATGTGGTTTTTTTTTTAATTTTTATTTAATTTTTTTTTTTTTATTTTATTTTTTGCTTTTCAAGACCAGCTCAAGCCCTTTATGGCACTTTACAGTTTTTACTTTATATTGTTTTATGTGTGTTTTTAAGTAATTATTTTTAAATTTTTATGGTGTTTTTTTTAATTTTTTTTTTTTTTTTTTTTTTTTTTTTTTTTTTTTTTTATTTCAAGACCAGCTCAAGCCCTTTACGCCACTTTACGGTTTTTGCTTTATTTTGTTTTTTATGTATTTTTAATTAATTATTTTTAAAATTTTATGTGGTTTTTTTTTTAATTTTTATTTAATTTTTTTTTTTTTATTTTATTTTTTGCTTTTCAAGACCAGCTCAAGCCCTTTATGGCACTTTACGGTTTTTACTTTATTTTGTTTTTTATGTATTTTTAATTAATTATTTTTTAATTTTTATGGTTTTTTGGGTTTTTTTTATTTTTTTTTTTTTTTCATTTTATTTGTTGCTTCCCAAGACCAGCTCAAGCCCTTTATGGCACTTTACGGTTTTTACTTTATTTTGTTTTTGGAACAACCCAGGAGATCAGCAGTTTTTCATGGTGGGCTTTGGGATTGACTTCTTTTTCTCTGTGATCTTTCAGCACTCCCAGGGAATGTTCTCAGTGCTGATATGTAGTGAAGGTTCTCTGAGCTGTTTGAATATTTTGTACTGTTGGAGTTTGCAGCTGAGGTTTGCTTCTGAGAACCTGCTGTAGAAAGATGAATAATTAAGCTGCAGACAGGAAGCACAAGATTTTAATACTGAATTGCTTCAGAGTCCTCTTTGGCTTTCTTTTTTGTGATGTCTGAGTCTGCAGTGGCTTGACTGAATGATGGATCTTGGTATTCCCTACCAGTTTGTGTGTCCAGAGATGCACTTGGAGGTGCTGAATGTGAGGCTCAAGCCAGCTCTGCTCATTGTGGTGACCAAATCTGGCTATTTATGTAGAGCAGGAACAAAACTTGACTGTGTGTGGATCCTTGGGACTCCATAAAACTTACTGTACTGTATTAGTGTCAGAAGTTTATACTGAGAAAGTCTGCTTGCCGTGTTTGCTACTGGTGGCACCCACTTAGGATGTTTTAATGTTTTCTTTTCTTGTCCTGGGTTAGTCATGAAAAGAATTGCCAAGCGAAGATTTATAGCAAGTATGACTGGTGCACTCAATTGGACAGTTAATAAAACCTACTCAGAATGTGATTCTGAAAAGGATGAGTTTGGGTTTCTGTGATGCATCAGAAAGGTCAGCAGAGGGTCCTTCCTGCCAGTTATCATAAACACCTGGGGCTTTAGGGTTTTCTGAAAAGACCCCCATCCTTAAGGAAACAATCTCCAGCCTGGCTGAAGCCAAAGCCTTTGCCTACTGTAGCAGTGAGCAGAACACAATGAACTGCAGGGGTTACAGCCCAGCCCTCAGCATTCCCCAGAGCATCATCCTCACATGTGGTGTCTGTGAACTTCCAGCTCAACTGCAGAGGCAAATGGGAACTTAAAGCCAGGTCAAACAGGCCATGCAGTAGAGGCTGGAGAACAAAACCAGATGGATCTTTCATCAAGAGAGACTCTGGTATTCACTGGATCAGAGAAATGAGCTATTCTATAGACTAAGATAATGGAGTAAACAGTTTACTCTAGTTCTGTTTCTGCCATCAGGGTGTGTGCTGGCACAGACTGTGTCAACGCAGATGTTCAACAACTTTGATCTGGGACAAAATGCACTCATTAATGCTGTGCTGTGGATAGATTGCAGATCTCAAGACATTACAGAGGGAGGACCCAACCTCTGCATCTCCAGTGTAAAAGTGTAAAAAGAAAACCTTAATGAGGACTGCTGAACCTGACTAGCTGCCTCATAGGAAATCACAAGGTAAACTCTGTTTATTCTTCTGTCATTGCCATTAAAATAAGTCCAGCATAAGGAAATACTTACCAAGTTATCCAAAATAATGAATAATGTATTTTTCATGTTACTGTCTTCATGAAAAATCCCTGTGGTTTTAGTCTTACAACATGTGTGCAGGTGTACTTGACAAACTCACTCTGACAATGAGAGGCACGTCTGCATGCTGTCTTTTAATGATGGTATAAATAATTTCCCAGACTGTAAACTACTCCCAGGTAATACATTTCTGTACAGTCTCATAAATACTCATGTATCACACATGTTAGCAGACACGGGCAGGGGTGACTTTGTCCTACCAGTGAGGCTTTGGCTTAGTTTCACACCCTGCAAAGCTCCTTGTGAAGCTCACACGAACATTTTGTATTTCAGGATTGCATCCTGAAAATATCTCAAATGTAGAAATTGTTCAGTTTCTATAAAGCTGAATTTTTCTTGGAAATACATTGTTGTAAGGCTTGAACTCATGATGGAGGTTTCCAATGTGTAAAGCTGCTGTCCATGGGCTGTTCCCCAGCTTGCTGCTCTCCCTGTGCATTGTCAGTTCCAGCACTGAGCCCAAACTGCTGCAGAGAGGGAGGGAAGGAGGGAGGGAGCTTACCCACGGATATGAAATGCAGCTGTGCTCCAGGCTCTGTGCAAGGGAAAGGAACTTTGGGCTTTTTTTTATGGCTGATTGTAGTTTCCTTTGAAGCTGTGTGGATGTGCCATCCTGAGGGGTTCTCTGATGGACAGGAGTTTCGTTGAGGGGGTAAAAACTTGTAAAAGAATTAACAAACACAGTATCAGAGGTGAATTCAGGCTCTTTGTCCCATGAATTTCACAGCTTTGTAACCCTGATTTAGAGGAGTTCACTTCTGCTTTGATGCCTGATAAAAGTATATTCTTCTAAGGTAGTCTGCTGTTGGGAAAAACAAAATGCATCAAAGTCTGGACTAAACTTTGAAAAACTGAGCAATTCAGTGTTCTTGTCTGATGCTTAAAATACTCACAAAGTTCCTGACTGAACCTTGGAAAGCCAACAGAAAGATTGCTGTGTGGTTTTGAATTCTTGCAATAAATTTAGATGGACTTTTATTCTGAAGTCCTTTTGTCTGAAAACTTTCTCCCTTCACATGACATCCACAGCAGTATGAGAGTCCTGGCTGCCCTCTGCAGAACCCAAGGTCTGTAGAAACCAGCCCAGTCCACTCTGGTTTGAGGCAGCTCCCAAATGTGATGCAAGCAGCAGCTCTGTGTGGGGTTATGCTTATGAGCAGAGGCCAAAGGATCTCTCCAGATGCAAACCTTCTGAAAATCTGGGTCAGATCCTGAGAGTGATCAAATACTGTTGATGACTTCTGAATTTTTCCTGAATGTCAGTTAGTGCAGTGCAAAGAGCCTGAGCTCAGGGAAGTGCCAAAACCTGCTCCACTGTTCCCCTAAATATTCAGCATGTCAATAGAGCAGATATTTGAACTGAGAAGAATGATGAAAAATCAAGACTCAAAGTGATCAATTTGAAGTTCTTGTCCTTTCTCTAAAGGCCCTTTAGTCTGCTCCTTTCTAGTCATCTACTTACCTGTCCCTTGCTCCACCAGCCACGCCAGCCTCAGCCTCCAGTTTGATTTCTTGTAATCTACCTGAACTGCAACTGTAGGACCCCATTTCAAGAGCTGTTTGTTGTTCTCTTCTTACAAGGCCTGTGGGAAACCAGCCAGGCAGCAGTGATGTGATCTGAGCAGACACTAAGGGGATTCCATTTCCTGCACTCTAGTTCCTGTCTGGTCATTTTTCAATGAGTCCAAGTCAAGCAGGAAGTTGACAATGATCCCTGTGCTCCCTGGTGTCTGTTCTTACCCTATGTCTTCTTTCATTTCTCACACTTCTGATCATGCTGAAAAATGTCCAAGGACTGCATTTTTCAATGTGCTTTTACACACTGTCCCACTAGGCACTATTATAATGCTAATAAATAATAATAAATTATACATATGTTATGATTATTTGGACTTATTAGTACACAAGGACCCACATGATATGTATGTGCAAATGTAGAATTTGGGCAAATTCCTGCAATTGTTTGTTGTCTTCTCTTCATGTTGTAAATCAGACATGCTAAAATACTTGGAAAGTTGGTTTGTTGGGCAGTGTCAGTTCCAGGCTCCCTTTCTTGGCTGGTTTGCTGTGTGTGCTGCACTCTTCCTGCATTATCTGAGGGGTGATGCTGGTGTTGTTATCTGAGCTTTCTTCTTCCATTGGAAAGGCTTCTTCACCTGCTTCTTCTGAGTACAGGAAAGCCGTGGGCTGTGGAGCAGGTTCCACATCAGCCAGATCTCAGCAACCTTCAGGCTATGAACCACCATGAGATCTTTGTAAAAACAGGGATCAAAGGTCTGTAGGTGTGGGGCAGCAGAAGGCTTAACAATGCCAAAGGTCTTGAACCCTTCATGCAAAATGGGTTTGAGGTTGATTCTCTGTAAGCACATGCCCAAAAAGACATCATCGATGGGGAACAGCTCCACTTCTCTGCACGCCCTGGAGAGCTTCCTCATGGTGCAGCGGGACAGCAGGAAGCCTCCTCCCCCAGCATAGGCAGGGTAGATGCTCAGCCCATACATGCTCTCTGGGATGTAGTACTTGCTCTTCCGGGCGCGGATGGGACGGGCATTGTAGATGATGTCCCCAACAAAGAGGTCCTCAGTGGGGTCGTGCCTCTTGAGGAAATCAACGATGTTCTCAACGTTGACAAAAACATCAGCGTCACCTTTGAAAATAAATTTCACGTTGTGGCAGAACTCAGCAGCCCAGCTCAGGAAATGGATCTCCTTCAGGGTCAGGTTGAAGAAAGTGTCCATGAAGTCCCAGAGTAAGATGTCCCGGTATGTCTGACTCTCCTGGTGCATCAGGGTCTCCCATGTTGCCAGCACTGTCCTATTCTTTGGTGTTCCCAGCAGGAACACTCGCTGGATCTGCTCCCCATTCACCAAACCCTCCCTGCCCCACGTTTTCCGGACAATCTCACGCCTGTCAAAGTCTTCAACCACTGATTTGATAGCAATGAGCAGGAAGGGACCTCCCGGTGTCTTTCGGCATTTCCTGGGCTGGTTAATGAGGAGATTGAAGTTCCTGTTATCCTTGTTTAGGAGATAGAGCTTGAAGTTGAAGGCAGAATCAGTCAGTGGGGGTGGAGTTGTAGTTTGGACCCTGGTTTTGGCCACTTCTGTTGGTCTCATGGCAGGGGTAACTTGGGGTCTGGGTGCAGTTGCCTCTGCTGGCATCAGCCTCCGAGGTGCTCTGGGATCAGAGAAGATTTTTGGTGCCACTCGAGGTTTGTTCTGTGCTGGCTCCTTCTTTCCTGCCGGGACCAAATGTTCCAGCTGGGAGTAGAGCAAAGAACAAAGTGCCACCAGCAGGAGGAGGGTACAGATCACATCCCCTTTGAGGCGAACTCTCATTGTCTCTCCACTGTTCCTGGGACTGCTAAAATCTGTGTTTGAGCTGCCTGGCACCACTGCCCATCTGTAAATAAACACAGAGTGTGTCAGCAGTGAGGATTTGGCAGGTCTGAAGCAAGCAGGCAAGACTAAACATCATTTAAAAACCCAGCAGCAAAGCACATTTTGCTCACACAAGCACAGAGACATTGAGAAACTTGTCAAAAGGCACACAGGGTTGCAAACTTACTGCTGATCCCAGTGCCAGCCAGCTCTGTGACTTGGTTAAGCAATCGTCCATCATCCTGAAAACCACCCTCTAAGCACACCCCAAAATCCTGCATCCCTTACTGCTGATTGTGTTTTGTCATTTCAGAGATTTCACTGGGAAAAGCAAAGTGGAAAATTATGAATGATGCCATTCTTCCATAAAAAATTACCTTTTTTTTTCCTAGCTTGACAACCATTACTTGCTGCTTTTACCCTTTTTGACCAGGGAGGCCCAGAGCTGCCTGCTGAAGGGCAGACTCTTCATGGCAGTGTGCTGCTGGTGTTTCCCTGCACACGGAGCCAACTTTTGGTAAACTGAGATTGGTACTCAAAATGAATGCATTGGGTACAATCTGGAATTCACACAGGACCTTTCTCCTGCCAGTATTCTTTATAAAATATTAAACCATTGTAAGTAACTTCCATTAATAAGGTTAGAAGGGGCCATGGGTATTTTTCCTCTGCCAAATCACCCGAACCCCTAAGTGAGAGGTGGGGAAATAAATCCCAATATGCAGAAGCAAGACAGAGCATAGTGTTAGGAAAATTTTGTTCATATATGATAGGTGAAGCTGCCTTTTGAAATACAAGATTTTTCCTCACTTACACTTTTCCTGGAGATCTTCTGTCTTATTTGATCAGTTCTTCAACTGCAAACAAAATGAGAATGAAAGAGTGAGAAGGCAGCAAGCAGCAGGTCCTCTCATCACCCTGTGGGTGCAGCCACTCCCTGCAGCAGCAACAGCAGACCTGGACAGAGGGACCCCACAGCTGCTCCAGGAGGAGGTGAGAGACCATCATCATTCCCATGACCCATTCCCATCACCATCACCATTCCTCCTCTCCTCAGCAAGAAGGAAGTTGAGCCCCACCCAAAAATTTCCCCACAAGTATTTTATACCTCCACTAATAATGTATCATGTTCATGTGTGATTTGGGGCTCTCTCTTGCCTGTGCTGTACTAAGAGAAGCTACCTGTGAAGGTATTACAGTTCTCTGTCCTGAATTAGCTGAGATCATATCCAAAGATGACTTCTGGGATAAAAACAGTTGGAGAGGGATGTTTCACAAGGGCATACAGTGATAGGAAATGGTGCAAATGCTTGGTAAGAATTTGGTGGTATCTGTTTTCAGCAAATCTCCTTTTACTGTCCTGGACTGGATCAACTGTTCATTAACCACTCATTTTGTATTGGCCATAATGTTAAGTTTTCAAACTCAAAATTAGATTGACTAGTCTGTAATTATGAAGTAATAAAACAGTGGCACCTGTGGTATCTAGGTAATATTTCAAGACTTAAGAGGAAGAAAATTATTACACCCGTTGATTTCTTGGCCAGACCCTTTAAAATTCTTAGACACACATTGTTTGGACATCATTATTTAAATACTGTGTTTTTTCATTACTGGTTAGCTTCACCTCCAAGGTACTGTTGAAATAGAGTATTTCACCATCATATGCTATTGCATATCTTTTTCCCAAGCTCCAAAATGTTTACTGACCTCATTCTCTTTGTCTCCATTATTTTTGAAATCATTATTTTGGAAAACAGCATACCCATGCCTTGGTGTAAGGCTCTTTGCATTCCTGATGGATATAAAATCACACTGGCCTTGTCCTGATGACCATGGGTTTTTTCCTTAGGCCTTGTTTCTTGCCTTTTTCTGCCCTCTCACAGAGGCTTTTCTTCATTTGTTAGCTTTTTTTGTTTACCTTTCACTCCTCTCCTAGGCAGATGTTTTCACTGGCATAGCTTTGTTACTAATAGCAGGATTGAACAGTTTTCTCAGATCTCTTTTAAATTGTTGTACAAATGTTTAGAATATTCAGGATCTGTTTTCTGTTTATGTTCTTTCTGCCATGTGGCTTGGCTCATAACCACACTCAGCCTCATGAAACAGTCCCTCTTGACACGTATAGGATGTTGGTTTGCATTTTACATCTGAAGTCCCCTCTCTTTCTTCACAATAACAGCAAATTTCTTTTTCCTTTTCTGGGCAAAAGTTTGATCTTATTTCAGCTGCCAGGCTTCAGATGGTAATTAAGGAGCTGGATGGAAGTCCTGGATTTTTCCTGTGTTTAATGTTATCGACAAGGACTTGGAATAAAATGCACGTGTCATGAAACTCGTAATTTCCATGGCTTGTAGCTTCATACTGCCAGCATCTCAGAATCTGGCAATAAGTGCCCTTGGAAAAGCCAAGAAAAACCCTGAATTGTTACAAGCCTGGGCAGATAGCCCAGATTTTCCTCTGTGTTTTCTTTTATTGAAAGTAAAGGATCCGAAAGAGTGATTTCCACGCTGAAATAAAACAGCTCAGTGCTGAGTACAGACCTCTCATTTTCAAACGAAGTTGCCAGCCCTTGAAGTCATTCCTTGATCTAATTATATGGATTTTCCAGTCTTTGTTAGGTATTTCCTTCTTTGGAAGGAAAATACCCTTGGTTATTACCGTGGTGTAAGCTCTATCCATGGATGTCAGTGTGGGAAAAGCTGTTCTGCTCTCGAATACAGAGGGACTGATGATTCTGGCAGATGCTCTGGCATGTCCTAAAGCCAAAAGGATTATTCATCCACCTTGACACCAGGGGAAAAGAATTACAGGGCTATCAAAGTGAGCAGGAAATATCTGATGCCAAAGGAAAGAGATGAGAGCACAGCAGTGTTTCTCAGCACAGCACATCCCTGAGGGTCTGAGGCAGAGGCACCTCTGCTTCCTCTGCTGCTCTGGGGAATCTCCATCCAACCTGAAATGGAGCTGGGCTTACAAACTGCTGCATCACAGGGCCTTGAGGAATGGCCTGGCTGTCTGCACTGCCTCTTGTGTCCTCCAAGATTGGGAAAGCAGGGAGCTGCCCCTCTTTGTGTTGACTTTGTAGGGATGGGCACAGAGAGGGGTTGACTCTGGCTTGATGGGGTCTGAATGGGATAATGGGGCTGGATAATGGGGCTGGGGATGCTCCATCCTGGGCTGAGCACCAGCAATGTCAGAGGGCTGAGCTGGGCAGGAGGAAGAGGCTGAAAGGTCCCATATCCACGAGCTGGCAAGATGGGCAGCCATACATAGGGAATGAGCTGGAAGAGCCAGGGGGGCCCAGCCTGCAGAGCCCAAGAGACAACAAAAGGCTGGAAAGCTGGAAGTGGCCAGAGCTGGGCAGGGCACCCTGCTGGGCCTCCAGGCAGAGAGTCTGACCTGTGCTGCTGCACGCTCGGGCAGAGGGCCCAGTCCTCTGCCTGGTTTTCATTTATTTGAGAGGAGGATTCTGAAATGTGGCCAAGAACAGCTGCAATAAAAGCAGTCAAGTGATGATAAAAAAAATAAATTGCTAGCCCTTCATTCCCAGTTGAATGATATGAAACCTTGAGCCCATCCTGGCAATTTTTTTTGCAGAAGTCATCACATCTCCATCACTTGGCACTTCTGCTCAGGGCCAAAGTGGAAAAAAGTCCTCTGGATCCTGTCCTGAGATTCAGTCAAGAAGCCTTGGTGATTCTGGCACTCTGCTTTGTGCCTTGAGCAGTGGTTATTTGATCCAGCCAGCCCTGGGAAAAGCAGCTGAGATAATCAAGCTGAAAAAACATGATGCAATGAGCACAGGGGCACAAAACCAGCAACGAGCTCTGCTGCCCTCTCACCCCAGCCTGGCTCACAGACACATCCATCCCCACCAAGCTGTGGGGTGTCCTTGGATCAGCCTCTCCCTGCTGCAAGGGAAGTGCTCCCAGCTCCCTCCTGACTCCTCACTCCTGATGCTGGAGCTGCCACTGGTAGGTTTGGGTTGGGCAGCAGAGGGACACTGTGTGCCCATGAAATGTGTGGAGCTGTGGCTGCTGATGGAGGTGTCCTGTCCATAAAATGAGCTAAAGAAAGTGTGGGGGATCCAGCACTGATGGGTTTGATGAGGATATTTTGTAATCATCAGAGAAGATTGTATAATCTTGGTGGTGGGGACACTTTGAGGCAATGCTTCAGGTTTGGGATATTTGTTTTCATTTCATGTTTGCTGAATGCATTCCACAAGAACAAAGTCATCTTGTAGCAGCCAGTGCTGGATACTGAGACCTGCCCCAGCTCTGGCCTGCAAGGGGAAAAGGCTGCACACATGTCCCTCTCCTGCCTCATTTACAGGAATTTTTCCACCCAGATTCCCTCAGCAAGAGCAAAGCAAACTCCCAGGATCCTCCTCACCTGGTTCCTCTGCCTCAGGAAGAGTTCTGACCCTGTTCAAGAAGCAATAATGACATTCCCTCTGCCCATGCTGCAGCTGGGGCTGTGTGGAGCAGATGTGTGCAGGTGAGCTTTCACCCAATAGAGCAGGATGCTGACACCAGGAATTCTGCACTGCCTGCAGCCCTGGAGGCTGCATCTTCTCACTGACACCCTTGGTCCTGTCCCCTGCACCCCTGAGGGCTGGGAGAATGTTTGACTCCTGTGCCTGCACCACTTTAATTGAAATGTCTTGCTGAAATGTTTAAAGGGGAAAAGTAGCTCTGTGTGTTGGAGCAGGGGAAGAAGCTGTGTTCCACTTCTATGGGTTTGGGGTTTGTTTGTTTGTTTGTTTCTTTGCTTTTCTACTGCCCCACTCATAGATGAGATGACCCTTATTTATTGATGAGGTCAATAACCTCATCAAAGTTATGGCTTTAAGTGGCCCTGGTGTTGAACAATTTCTCTTTGCATTTCAGGGAGTTTGTGAAGAGGTCTCATTTGGAGTTACAGGATCATAAAGTGATGCTGAATTATTTGATTTTCTTGATTAGAAGACAGAGGTGGCTGAAATACAAAGACCCCTTTTGGCATATTGGTAAGTGCAAAGCCCTAGAAAAATGAAATAACCAAAACTCTTGCTGTGCTGCCTTACCAGATAAAAACTCATCCTATTCAGCTGCTTACAAGTTCTGAAGTCTATAAGCAAACTGAGAGCAGGCTGTAGGATTTAATTAGCTGAGTGTCTTGAGAGCTGTCCCAGGAACTGGGTTCATGAACCAGCACCGAGGGAGCACAGTGAGAGGAGCAGAGGCTCAGTGCTCAGCTGCCCACAGTGGCACAGCTCAGACACTGCTGCCCAGTGCCACAGTCACAGCACTGCAGCATCACTGCTGCTGGTATTTGCTGCAGCACCTGGAGGCAAAAGCTCTGTCGAGTCAAGTACTGAGGAAGCAGGTAACAAAAATGCAGGCCCTGCTCCAAAGACAATTTCCAACTTTCCTGTCAGAGCTGCTTTTCAGGGCATTTTAAATTTTTTTCCAGGCCAGAGCAAATGAATGGATGAAATCCATGCTGTTACAGGACAGGGTGCATTATTTATCTGCCTGCCTCAGTCCTCAAATATGTAGTTTGATCAGCTTCCCAGCTGGCTGGTCCCATTTTATTGCAGTTTCTCCTGTTGGCACTGCCAGCCTTCCCTTTGCAATGCCAGTCACGTTGGATCACTGCTTGAAATGGCTGCTGTGGTTGCCTCCTCTCACCTTCCACCCCAGTCAGAAACTTCTGTGAAGTGCAGAAACTCAAACACAGAGGAGCTGCAGAGCTGCTGTGTGAGGGTTGTTGAGGTGTCTGTTTGCACGTGCAGGGGTCCCAGAGAGGAGCTGGCCCCTCCTTGCTGGGGACTGCAGTCCCATGGGAGCCCTGGTGACCCTGGGCAGGAGCAGCTGCCTGCAGGACTGAGCTCAGGGAAGGCTGGCAGCCAGCACCCTGCTCCCCTGGCAGCCAGCACCCTGCTCCCCTGGCCCTGCACCCTGCTCCCCTGGCCCTGCTGGCAGCCCTGCACCCTGCTGCCCTGGCCTTGCACCCCTGGCCCTGCACCCTGCTCCCCTGGCAGCAGCACCAGTGCTCCCCTGGCCCTGCTGCCCCGGCCCTGCTGCCCTGGCCCTGCTGGCCCAGTGTAAGCACACAGGGCACAGTTTGGGGCTGCAGCTCGTTTAGGCAGTACCTGATGCTCTCTGTGCAGGGGGCAGTGCCCACGCAGGCCTGAGCTGTGCCAGGCACCCGGGCTGAGCCCCAGGAGCTGGGAAACTCCAGCTCCTCTGAGCACAGCCCCACACCTCTAACGAGGGCTCAGCCACCTGCAAGGTAGGAGAAGGTAAAGCCCAATGACCTTCTGCAGGCTCAGCAGCCTCCAGAGGTACTGTCCTACCTTCAGATGCAGTCCTGCTGCTGGTGCTCTGATTTTCAGAGTGGCAGAGGGCTCAGCAGCTCAACTCACACCCTGAGTGCTTTGGGGAGAGGACAGATCCATCCCAAGTAGCCAAGGTAAGGAACCTGCTGTCTCTTTTCCAAACCTTATTTTTTTCTGGGTCCCAGGAGGGGAATAAAGCCTTGCAGGTTTGTGAAGGAGTAAGAAACTGAAACAAACACCTTCCTCTCCCAGCCCTCCCCAGGCTGCAGTGCTTGCCACCTCTTCAGGTCCCAGACCCTCTTCTGATAAATAATCTGCCCAATGCACCCCAAACCCAAGCAACTGGAGTGCAGTAGCATGGATGTATTGTTACATCCATGGCAGATGGGACAGGGAGTACATGCTGATGTGTCCCACTAATTTCAAGATTATACCCAACACATAAGTTTCTCAGAATCCACCCAAAAGCTATTAAAAATATCAGTAACTGCCTGATGATTCACAGGGGCTAAATTACTTTCTATCTTTGTGACCCTAGAGGGCCTGAAAATTCCCATTTTGCTCACAGCATACCACAGTGTAACATGGGGAAGATTCATGTCCTTTTACTGATGAATTATGGCTTGTAAATGTAATGTGCCACCAATGGAACATGTTTGTGGCTGGGAGGAAGCCCTGTCTCACAGCACTGCAGGCATTGTCTAAAGAAGCCCCACACTTCTGTAAAAACAGCCTAAACATTCAAAGAAAGTTCTTTGGAAAGTAAAGAGTAAAGCAGATGTCTCGGGGCTGGAGCCTGCGAGTTCAGAGCCTGCTGCGTGTTAACCATCGCGGGCCGGGCTGCTGCATTTAGCAACATGCAAGAGCAGCAAGGCAAAAAGAAAAGCTGGGGGCAAAGGGAAGCAGTAAGGACAGACTCCGGTCCACCCTGCTCGCTGCACAACCCTCCCCAAGCCCCCGAGATCAAACACACTTAATAGATACTTACAGCCCATTTGATAGCGCTGATCCTGCGTCCCCTCGGTGCCGTCTGTGCAGCGGGCTGCCAAGCAGGCACATCTGGATGTGCTTAGTGAGAGACATCGCTCAGCTCCGCGTTCCAGCGGAGCCCAGGACACCCTGAGGGCGCCGAGCAGCGCTGGGGCCCGCGGCCGCTCCCGCCGGCAGCGAGCGGAGCTGCCCGGGCCGGGGCTGCGGCTGCGGCGGGGCCGGGAACGGGCTGGGATCGGGGCTGGGATCGGGGCTGGGATGGGGCTGGGATCGGGGCTGGGATGGGGCTGGGATCGGGGCTGGGAGCGGAGCTGGGATCGTGGCTCAGATAGGGCCAGGATCGGGCCGGGAGTGGGACTGGGATCGCAGCTGGGATCGGGCCAGGAGCGGGGCGGCCCCGAGCGCAGCCCCGGCCCCGCAGCGAGCGGAGCCCGGCGATCACGGCGGGCCGGGGCAGAGCCGGGTCCCGGCCAAGGCCGCACACGTGATGGGCCCGGGAGCGCCGATGGCTCCGGCGGGACAGGGCGGAGGAGTCGAGAGGGAGAACGCTCAGCCAGGTTGGGGATTTGCACCGATTCTGCTAAAAGGCCGGGTTTTTCTTTCCTGCCCCTCCGCCGTAACTTTTTTCAATAGGAAATGTATTAATTTTTCTGAGTTTCTTTTTCTTTTCCTTCTATATTTTGCCCTTTTTCTTTTAATTCCCTTGTATTTACCTCTGCAAAGAGTCAAATTGAAAAATTTGAGGTTGGGTTCAGCTCAGAAGTTAAATTCACTTGGGGGTTGTTTCTTTCTTTCCTAGTAGGGAAATGATGGGAGGATATGTGAGCTGAGCAGTGCAGAGGCTGGAGACAGATTCAAGGGTCCTTTCGAAAACCTGGAACAACAAAAAAAACCAACAACCAAACCCCACTTTTTGCCATTCATTTGGGAATTCAGCTTTGTGGTAGATAAAGAAGGGCTGATCTTGTGATTTTCAAACAGTGTTTGAGATTTAAGAGATTCAGGGTAAAATACATGTCTGCTCCAGTTCATGGCAAAAGGAGTTTCCCTGGATTCAGCTGTCAGGTCAGCCAGTGGCTTCCTGTGCAAAGCTGCTGCAGGTTTTATATCCCAGCTCCTTGGCTCCCCACCTGTGGGAGAGGAGAACTCACTGGGAGTGAGGCATTTGAGATTACAGAGGTGCTGTGGCCTCAGAGGAGTCCCAGATATCCAACAGCACTGAAGGAAACACAGTGAGCTCCTCCAGGTGCCAGGCCTGGGACAAACCTACCCTTCTCCCATGCTGGCTGAAAAAGGCTCATCAAAGCAGTGACTGGAAACTGAACAAACCAGAGGCTTGGCTTGGATTTGCAATCAGAGCTGCTCCCTTGCAGGTGGGACACCAGCCTTGGCATGTCAGGAGAAACGTGTGACTGTGGGCAGAGCCCTGCTGGGCAGCCACCCTCAGGCTGGATGCTCCTCTGGAGCTGATGATCACCAAATGTGGCCAGAACTTCGGTGACCCTTCTCTTACTACTGCAGTTAAGTGTTCAATGAAAGTCTCTGAGGCAATTTCATCAGAAGTATATATTTATTTATAAAAAAGAATGGGGAAAAAATATATACCAAAGAGGTTTTTCTGTAAAAGACAATTCCTTGGAGGCTGAATGTCCTAGACCCAAGTATGCCTGGCATTGCAGTCCATAGCTGTAGATGGCTGATCCAGATCTATGCTGAATATCATGGGAATTTGGAATCAGATAGTCAGCAAGGGATTTTTCCACTGAAAACTAAGAGACATTAACCACACATCTCATACAGGTTTCTGTTAGAGATGTACAGCCAGCTCCCTTCAGGGGGTTTAAAATTCAATCCAGAGAAGAAAAAAAACCATATTTTTTGACTCTAGGCCTTGAACTGCTTCACTGTTTGAGTCCACCTCCATACAAAAGGCACATGGGCAGCCCCCCTGTCCAGTGTAAAGCACCAGTGTCATGCACACACTCCAAAATGTGGGTCAGACTCACAAACCCTCTTGATCCCTCTTCTTGTACCTCCTTGGTTTAAGGATACCAGATACAATACCAGAGGTTCACCAGAATTTTCAGTTAAGTAAATCAGCAATTTAAGTGAATTTGAGGCTCCTCATTCTGCCCATGCTCACTCCTGGTTTCAGTCTGTGGGCAGCTGCCAGGGTGTGGTTCCTTGGGAACACAGAGGGGAGACAGTGACCCAGAGAGCAGGACAGCTCCTCAATGCTGAACCTGCCTTTGAAATGAAAGGCAAAATAAACAGATCTTTCCCTCTGAGACAATTTTGTATCAGGGGATCCTGTCAGGTTTGCTTCTATCAGATGCCTCATGTCAAAGTATATCTGGTGAACATTTTAACTTCACTCTCCTCTTTGTTATCATCTGTTTGAACACTGTAGGTCAGCTATGCCAAAATGAATCAATCAAATTCTCCTTTGGATGGATCTTTTATTCCTTCTGGCAGACTGAATGGAGGCTCCTTCAAATCTGAAACATGGTTAAAACAGTCTGTACCAGAAAAAAAAGCCCTCTTGGATCTCTTCCTGTAAGCACATTTTGGCCTGATTTCTGCTGCTTGATCTATGTTTTTTTTCTGGTTTAGATTTTATATGCAACTGATTATCACCTTTATTTGCTTTTAATGTTGTTTGGTTCTGAAACACTAGCATCACCCCTGATTTTTTCTTTTTCACAGATATATCTCAGTATATGGAGAAGAGCAGGTACTGGGATAAGGCCAATTTCTCCAGCAGCAGCACTGTCCATGGTTTATCTCCCACCAGCATGATGATTGCTCATGGAAAATGAGGTATGAAACAGCCACTGCTATGTCCCAAACCATGCCATGTGCTGGAGACAATTTCACCATGGAATATCACTGAAAAACCCTTTTCCTTCAAGTCTCTGCAATGAAGGCACCTGTGAATGCTGTTGGAGATTGAGACATTCCAGAAAGGTTGCCAGGGGCTCCAGCACTTAATGGCACTTCTGACAGGGAATTCTGACAGGGAATATGTGAGTAAGAGGAAATACACATGCCAGTTACTGGCAGAAAGAAAACGTTTGCATTCAGAAGAAAGTATTCATGGTTAGTCCTCTGTAAAAGAGTAACAGCAGTAAAAAAGTTTTCTGGACTTGAAGTAGATGCTGAATAATAAGACTTTCTCATTTTATGCATTAACAGATGCTACAAAAACTAGTAATTCTCACTACTCAGTGGCTGCCTTATAACTATATGTGCAAGTTGTGCACATATAGCTGGTCTGAGAGCTTAGAAAAATTAATTGCAAATGAGACAGCAGGCTATGCATGTGACCTTCTTTTCTTAAAAAACAAGGTCATATGCATATGGCATATGACAACGATTACTTTTCTTAAAAAAGTAATTTCTGCAAAATCAAGAGCAAACTCTCTCGCTCTTAGAGTAAATTTCAAGTTTCTGATTTTTCAATTTTTTAAAATACAATTTGTCAGGTGGGTTTCTGCCAAACAGAGTTCCCCAGCTGGGATTTGGCAGGAAAGCTAAATACTTTGAGGTATGGATCCACAGCAGCCTAAATTAGGCAAGATCTGCACCACTGTGTTGGTCCCAAAAGCAAAACTGTCAGAGAGGTAATTGCTTCATTTTAGTTATTACAGGAAGGGAGAGGGTGGGATGTGTGAGCAGGAATGGAGGGGATGAAACTGCAATGGCACTGATATAAAATGGCTTAATAAAAGGTGATGGAGGCACAGTCTTTACAGAGATGGTGCCTGCATGAAGTCCTGCTTCCTTGGAAGGTAGGGGCAAGATGGAAACAGATTCACTCACACCTGAAAACCTTCTCCCCATATGCACCCCCTCCTTTCCTGGTTCTGTATGTAACCTCAGGGGTTCAAAATCTGCACAAAACAAGTCAGGGGTTCAAAATCTGCACAAAACAAGTCGTTTCCCTGGCTTACACTGAGGATATGATACTCAGCTCATCTGAGGCATGTGGACCCCAGCTGGCTCAAAGCAGGACATCTAAATCCTGCCCATCCAGGTTTCCAGTGACTGATGCTCAGGTGCTCCAGCAGAAGCTACAGGAATGTCTCCAGCTCCAGGAGCTTGGATCTGAGCCCACACCTGAATCTGAGGTTATGTTCCTCCTTACTGAGTCACAGCTTTGACTCCAGGGAAGGAGTAAGATGTGAGTTGTGGTTTAAAAGGCCTCAAAGTTGTTCCTACCATGGCTGCTAGCAGCCTGATATTGTCATGTGCACACAGACTTTGTGTGTGTGGCTGAAGTCCCCCTCTGCACCTGAAAACATTTCCATAGCCCACTGGCTATTCCCACAGATGGGAAGGGAAATAAAGGATAGAATTAATGGAATAGTATCAGTAAAAACCTATCAGGAAAGCACTGGGAATATAATTGAGCTGCTGTTGTGCTTCACAGGACCCATGTCATGCAGACACTCATTGCTCTGTGCTTTGTCACAGCAGAAATGCAGCTGCTGTGTTGCAGTCTGCATCAGCCATACCAGGAGACACTGTTTCTCCCACAGGAACTGAAAGCAGGAGTCAGCCCTGGGGTTTGGGAGATTTGTCTCTTAAACCATTTTTACCCTAAAAAATCAGTGCAGGTAAATCCAGGCACGGTGGCAGCTGATGTTGGATTGTCACACAGTGCCAGGGAAAGGCTCTCTGTAGGTCCTGCCACCTGTGGGACACAGCAGGTGAGCTGTCCCCTCCAGGGTCCAGCAGGCTGAGGGTGGTCAGGAGGTGAGAGCAGCCAGCTGGGGGTGCTGATTGCTCAGCTCTGTGGTCTGAGGATGGCATTTGATGCTGCAATGCCCTGAGGGCAGCAGTTCCAAACCAGGCTCCACAGGTAACTTGCTGATGAGGAGACTCTTTTCCTTCCAGCACTGTGTTTGGCTTTCCATAGCTGCAGGCTCCCTCAGGCTGGCAGGCAAGGCCTAATCAGCATATTACTGTCTACCACAGATGAGAAAATGTTGACAATCATTGTCTGAATTTGAGTTTGTCCATATTGTTTGTTCAGTGTCTGCCATTTGTTGTACAGCAGCAATCTTTTACCCTGTGGAAGACTGTGGCTG